AGGGTTAACCGGATTCATTTTAGTATGGCATGGAAATTTTCCACTCGCTGGCACTCCATAGCCAGTGTTGGCCACTCTGCAAATTATCGAAACTTCCCAGCCCTTTTGGTCAGCCGCTGAAGTATCCGAGATGGAAGAATCACTTGCACGATTACAACAACCAACCCAAACAATGGAAGGTAGTGTGAGTTAAAATATTTAAAACTATCCAAAACCATTACAGCTAATAGTGACATCAAGATTAATTTATACACAACAATGTAGGACAGGTGCACTGAGCAGCACACAGCGGCCAATGACACGAGAAATGGAAGTACTTGGAAGCATTGTGATGATACTGGACTATTTGGGATGGCTTGCCGGCATGATCAGATGATCAGGATGATCAACATTGTCAAGAGTGGTGAGAAGTATGTATGTTCATTAACTTTGACAACTAAAGCCCATAAATAAGGCCTTTTACAATTATATCATATGTTTTGTCAGATCCTATTTCCCTTTAACCATGATTAACCACATGGTACAGGTCACCAAAGAAGACCACGGAGCGCGCAAGAAGCTAGCATTCCTGTATGACATAGGATGCAACATTGAGAAAGGAATTATCCGAGTCTGTATCTATTTTTTATCTTATCCGGCCCCAGGGTATTTAATTCAAGGCTGATTGAGGTGGCTATTATCCAAAAACCAGCGTAATCAATTTCCATACGAGATGACTCATAATCTGCTCCGGTTTGGCACAAGTGTTTTCCATGCATATGTGCATGAGTGGACCTGCCAGCTCCGATACAATCCAATATTGAACCAAGGGTGGGGAATTTCAGCCGGGGAGGGAATGGAGCGTCTGTGGTCCCATTTGTCTCCATTAATCAGCCAACTCCGTTATTCAACCAAGAAGCACCGACTGTCCGCAATTGACCTACAAGTGAATCATCATAACGACAATGGAAGAAAATCAGCATGTAGGTTTTTTTGTGTCCAAAATATTTTAAACAAAGCTGAGTATTCCTTGTTCAGTTCGTTCGCTTTTAGAAAGAGGGAAGCAAATTGAAGGAATTAGGAAATAATCCCAGCAAACCCTGTTACAAGTGGAGAGGTCATCTGGTCACACATTGTCGTATTTGAAGGACCAATGGAATCGACAGAGGCAAATGCAACTGGAGGCAATGGAAAATGATACTGAATTGCAAATGAGAAAACAAGTAGAAGAGCTTGTTATGTTGGACGACCAACTCCGAGCAACACAGTCAGTTCATTGATTGATTTTTGTATTGCCCATAACTAATAAACTGTTAAATAGACAGGAAATGGTTGAACTCGGAAGAACCAGGCGCAGGAATCGTACGGAAGCTCAGACCTTGCAGATGGAACAAGGTCCTGATCATCTACGTGTGTTAGAATCAGAGATAGAAAATATCATTCATGAGCTGGGTTTGGAATATTTCCGCAATCTTCCAGGCAATTCTGGTCAATCATCATATTACTTTCTTCTCAATCAAATAAAACCAAAATAGCAAAGACTGAGACTTGACTTCTTGCACAGATGAACAAACTAAATCATTGGTAAAATTGAAAATCAGCAAGTCAAAGCTATATGAGGCCAAGGTCGGAGTGATTGAGCTTCAAAAAAAATGGGATGAACGTGGATCAGGCAAGTAAATACATAACTTTAACATGCATGTGGCCCTCCTCTTATAAATTTACCCTACAAAAAATAGGCACCCGGATACAGGCACAGTTCAAGAAGCAAATGAATTCCAAAATGAAGCTTCTGAAGAACAAATGGATCTTGTACAATCACCAAACAATCAACTATAATGCAACATATACACCCAATCCCAATTTACCAACCCCAACATTCAATGAAGTCAAGTCATTTCAAATCAACAATTCATTCTGGAACATTGGCTTGCTGGATCATCCAAATGAACCCTGGGCCATTGACGTGGAAACACAGAAGGGTATTACAGCATATCTCACAATGACTAACTGTGATGATGAATTGCGCCGCATATCACGAGAAGCAAGGCAGGCTCTAAATTGGGCTGTCAATATGGCAGCCAAGGTGGAGAACATTTTGGAGGCATTGCTCATGGGTGTGTAAAGTTTTAGAAAAATATTCAAGTGGATCTATAATCTGATTGGTTCTTTTTGGCCTCTAAATAGATGTGCAAGAGACTGATGTTCTAACAGAAACTCAGCAGAATTTACAGGATATTTGCACAGCTGAAAATCTACCCAAGTCAGTTATGGAATCGGTGATTTCTAATACGGCAAAGAAGTTCTGTAGGCTATGGATAACGTGGAACTCAAGCTGTAATAAGGTCTTACTGTGGAGTCAGCGGTGGATTGATGAACCAGCTGAAGACATTGAGCTGAGAGAAAAATGGGACAATGTAATTGTGAAGAATAGGACATTGTGGGAAAAACTACGTGGAGAAGCAGTGATAGTAGAAAATGAAAATGAAGAAGAAGAAGAATATCAGGATCAAGAGCAATCAATATTTTGGCATGAAATTGATGATTCTTTAGATTTATAGAAATTTTAACATTACTTTGATGTGCTAAAGTTGAAATGATTATATGTAAATGACATATACACTGCGCCTCCTCACCTCTACACTGGAAAAAAACCTTAAATGATTAAGCCTATGTGTATAAATGATTGAGCTTAATAATTGATATTATTAATATAAGATATAATACCCTGACTGGGTAATACCCTGACTGGGCTGAATGCTGAATGAGCTGACTACAGGAGCTGGCTGAGCTGGCTTGTACAGCTGACTGAGCTGAATACAAAAGCTGGGTCTAAGAGATGTGCAACAATAGGAACAGTTTCAAGAGCTGCAAGAGCCAACAGAGCTGACCAAGCTGATTAAAAGAGGCGTCTGAGCTGGGTTGGAGAGATAGCTGAGTGAGCTGGCTCCAAGAGCTGACTGATATTTGCCCCAGAGCTGGGTCTGAGAGCTGACATGAGCTGACTGAGCTGGATACGCTGTGTGCAAGAGGTGACCAAGCTGGGTTGAAGAGCTTTCCGAGCTGCCTGAGATGGCTCTAAAGTAGGCTAAACTAGCTAGCTGGGCAAGCTGACTGAGCTGGCTCCAATAGCTGACCAAGCTGACGGAGCTGAATGAGCTGGCTCGGGGAGCCTACTGAGCTGACTGAGCTGGGCCGTAGAGCTGAGTGAGCTGGGTCCAAGAGGTGATGGAGCTGGTTGAGCTGACTGATCTGGGTCCAAGAGCAGACTGAGATGTCTTG